AATAAAATTCTCTTAACTGAATTGCTTTGTTTCCCATCTTTTTCTTCCTCTCCCCCCACAAAAACACCCCAACTTTAAAAGCATCAGGTGAGTAGCTGCTTAAAACCAACAAACTTCACATTGCTTGAAAATGAAGATGTTGTTCCATTTCAGCCCACTTTCCCCTTGAAAATTGCTAACTGGTTTGTGTGGGTCAGATGCAGACATCTGGAAACTGTTATTTGTCACTTCAGTGATTCTAATCTACTTGATTAGAGCCCCTACTACAAGTAGTAGCAGTCCCTACTACAGGAAGAATATGAACGTGCTGGAATGTGCCCAGAGAAGGGCCACGAGGATGATCAGAGGGCTGAAGCACCTCTCCTATGAGGACAGACTGCAGAAAAGGCAACTCCAAGGAGACCTTACTGTGGCCTTCCAGTATCTTAAGGGGGCTACAAGAAAGCTGGGGAGGGGATTTTTAGGATGTCGGGTAGTGATAGGACTAGAGGGAATGGATTAAAGCTAGAGATGGATTCATTCAGATTGGATGTTAGGAAGAAGCTCTTCAGCATGAGGGAGGTGAGACACTGGCACAGGTTTCCCAGAGAGGGGGTGGAAGCCCCATCCCTGGAAGTTTTTAAGGCCAGGCTGGATGGGGCTCTGAGCAACCTGATCTAGTGGGGGATGTCCCTGCCCATGGCAGGGGGGTTGGAACTGGGTGATCTTTCAAGTCCCTTCCAACCCTGACAATTCTATGATTCTATGATTTCATCTTCTGTAATACAGAGCTGTATGTGCTTTGCATCCTGCTTTAAGGCCTCTGTGTGTTTTAAAAATATCACCGTTTTGCTAAAAAGTCGTCTTCGTAAGTGAAGTACTCTACAGCAGTTACGGAGAATGTAATCTATGGAGAAACTGAACCGTGCTGAAATAATCCCACAGCAAATGGTTTTGGGATCTACATGAGCGTTTTGTTTATGTAAGCCAGCATCAGGAGGTGTTTGAGTAGCTGTTTATAGTTTTTATAGTAAGCTTATGTGCTGGATTTTGTCATGTGGCAATGAGACATCCTTTTTCTGATCTGAAAGCCAGTGTTGGTGTACATGTTGACTGCTAGTATTTCATGGTTTGTTTTGAAGCTAGTTAGATCAACAGTCAGGATACCATTGGTGATATAGACAGTTCTTTGGAAGATAAGCACTTCAGTAATGCATTTGTTGCTAAATAAAAAAATAGTTTGTTGACTTGTTGCTAGTCCGTGGCATTTTTTCAGACTTGTTTCTTTTTTAACTTGATCTCTGACAGCTAACTGCCCAGTTTCCCAGGTTACACTCAGCAGTGGTATATTTCCACCTTCAAATCCAAGGACTGCTCTGTAAGCTCTTTTCCTATTCTCATGGTGTTATTTGTGGAAAAAGAAGCAGACGAGAGTGAGTTTTCAAAACATGCTCCAATTATGTCAAGCTGTCATTGCCACAGCCTCTGCACAGAGTAACTCTTGAACTCCGCAGGCCGTGTTCCACTCTTAAGTGAATACTTTTTGGCCTTAGCCCTTTGAAGCTTGGGAGTTGTGCTAATATAACTCTAATAAACAGAGTTTATTACTGATCTTAAGCTGTAAGCTAGTGTGTTTGTGTATTAGCCTTTGCTTGTAAACACTTCATAATTTAATATCCAATTTGTTTGCAGCACTGATTATCAGAGTATTGAAACTCAGCAGTCTACTTAAGGAGACGCTTCTCTGCACATTGTCGTTGGAAAAGATCATTAACCTATAATATTTAGTTGTGAATAATTTTCCTGCAATATATAGTTTCCTTTTAAGATTCAGAAAATGTTCTGCCTTGGCATTCTATTAATAAATAATTTACTGTTGATTGTGTTGTTTTTCAGCACTTAGAGATGGCATGAAATCAATGTCTTCTTTGCAATATAAACTTTATTATTGGCTTTTTCAGATCATATACTTATTTTCTGGACTTAATTCAGAATCTGATAGAGATTTGTTCCAGGCAGAACTAAGATCTGGGCAGTTGGTCATCTTATGACTGACTGCTCCAGGAAGGAAGGGATGCTCGTTGGAGTTCAGTACCTTGAAGTTACTGTGTTTCTCTGTATTCAGCCGTAAGATAACACAGACAAAAATTAGTACAAAGTAATTTTCGACTTTCCTATTTAGGGCTTGATTGCTTTTCTTAATTCCCACCTAAAATTGGTCGTTGCCTCTGTTGTATAATAAGCAAATTTGTAAAGCAGACTTAGTTGGGGCGGGGGGGAGATAATGTGATACCCTGCAGTTCCACTTTCCTAGTGGAGATGGGACATTTTTTTTATGAAGATAAGGTGTTATTCAATTATTGAACTACATAGCAGAGATGCAAGGTCCAGCTTCTCCTGCTGGTTCTGCTGTGGGTAGCTTGCTTAACTTCTTACTTAGTGATGAAACAGATGATGCTAATCAAAGACAGCCCAACAGTCAACCCGTCTCATGTTTGCTGAATGAGAGCGTCTTGAATGCTCAGAACTTGTAGAATATTAGAAGCATTTTTCAGATTTTTTGGTCATTTGTCAGTGTAAGCATCACACTTGATAAAGTTATATGGGCTTTGGCTGAAACGAAGTTTTGTGCTTTTATTTTGCACAGACATCCCCAGACCCTCTCTGCTACAGAGACATGCTTTGATTAAACAAGTTGAGAGAAGAATGGGTAAAATATATAACTAAAGTAACAGAATGGAGGCAGAATAAAATTTGAAAATGCTGAAAGGAGAATTTACTGATCCTCTAAGTAGAAGGATGTCAGGAGTAGATGAGGGAGGTGGCAGGCGTGGAGTTTTGTAAAAAGGGGCAGTGGATTATGTGTAGTGTGAAAGAGGAGGTTTGGAAGAAGTTTGCAGTCACAGCAGTACTGAGAAGCTCCCCTGAAAACTAGAGGAAGTTCTTGGCCTTGCCATAGGACCCTGCAGTTGCTTTTTCCAGCTAGAAGCTTGATCTATGTGTTCTATACGTGTTTGGTTTTTTTCCCTATGGTATGAAAGGAAATACCTATAGCTTATATAATGTATGCCTCTATCTGCACAATACACAACCTCAAGGAATGTATCACTATTTTAGATCTTGCCTGAGTGCTTCTTAGCTGCTGCTTTTTGGTTTCCCCCCTGCCCCCTAGAATCTTTATCTCCTCACTGCTGTAAGTATCAGCTTTGCTTATTCTCCTGCCTCTTTTTTGTTTTTTTTAGGTACATTTATTTTAGAGGTACTAATTTATTGGTGTTACCTAAAGAGAATCTAACATTTTGATTTTGTTGCTGTTGGTTTTTGGTATTTTGTGGTTTTTTTGCTTACTTGTTTCTGTACTTTGTTCACAGAACTGATACTTAACTAATCTAAGTGATGAGGGGAAAATGATTTTTTTTTTTTCCTTATATTGTCAGCATTAATTGATTTGTTTGTTTGCTTGTTTCTGGGATACAATTTTTGTTCAGTAAGTAAACTTAAGAACTGCTGCAAATGCCTGCTGTGTAATTAAAAGACTTGCATTGAAATCTGGAGTTTCCTCTAACTGCAGCTGCAGTGTACAGTTCTAAATGAAATCAAGCGCAGATATGTGTAATATGTGTGGTCTGTGAGGGAAGTATATGCTTTTTGTGGGACTTACCAGATAGAGAAAAATTCTAAACACGACTACATTTAAAAAAAACCAAATTTGTTCATTTCCTTAATAATTGTGTAGTTTTTCTGTTGCAGTTCTACTTGATATTTTGTCTTCAGACAAAACCAAAGATGTTTTGGGGCATTATTTTACTCTCTGAATTCAAGCCTCTTTTATATAGGATAACTGAACCATGGATGCAGATAGCAGATTTAAAAAAAACCAAAACAACAAACAAAACAGGACAGAAGAATCCAAAACAAAAGAAAATCCCAAGTTGGGTAGTTAGGATCACACTGTAAACATTCAGGGAAACCTCTGCAAAAGTTAGCTTAGTCTTGAGCACAGGTATGTTAGTGTTGGTAGTACTTCAGAAAAAACCACTTGTGTGACTTAATTTAGGAAAGTCTTACAAAAGCTCCTTAGTGCAATTTTTATGTTACTGCATTTTAGGTTAGATTTTACAGGTACTTGAATTACCTGTTTTTTGTGGGTTTTTTTAATGTATAATTTTCCAAATAAATCTTCCTTGTTTAAAGCAGTTCAGTGAAACAATCCGTTGCTGAGATTTGTTTGTAGTTTATACTGTGTCTTTTCATGCAGCTGATTAATTTCTTTCATTTATTTTCTAAAGTTTTATGTTGCTCATAAACTTCTCTTCAGAACTTTAAAAAAAGAATTGTCAATGTTAAAAATCCACAAAACTTTGATAAAACTGCAGGGAAAAATGGCTGCCCTGCACAGTGCTTCTGACATTTTACGTGCATTTACATTTTGTTTTGAAAAATGAACAAAGATTCAAGGTGCTTTGATGTAAAAACTCTTTGGCCACAGTCTGCCCCTGCATAAGAATTCTAATTCTGTGAGAGTTTCTTTGCAAAAGAATATTTTTCTTTTGTCAACACAGGAAAAGCAGATGTTGAAAACAAAATACTAAGCAAGGATGCTGCAGCTTCACATTTCTAACCTGCTTTTGTATATTTTTCAATAATTAGTCACTTAGCTTCTTAAGTATCATGTTTGTTGTGTAGAGCAGTATTAGTTTCTTATTGTATTTTCAGGAATATCAAAGGTGTGAATGAAGTTGAGTTTTTTCTAGGGGACAGATCTTTGCAAATGGTCTCTATTATTTCAGAAAAACATCTGTAACTGCTGGGAAAGGCTTGTTCAAAGTTCACTGGCTTAAGCATTGTTTGATCTGTGGACCACAGCTTAAATACTGGTATGATGAAAGTTACAGTGTTAGAGCGGATAATGTAATACAATTTGTCACAATATTAAGAATATATCAATATATTTCACACGCTCTCACATTACAGAAGAAAAACAATGCCTCCAATCTTTTTTTTTTTTTTAATAGAAAATGGGATAATCAAATCAGACAAGGTATTTGAAGTAATGCTGGCTACAGACCGTTGCCACTATGCAAAATACAACCCTTATATGGATTCTCCACAGTCTATAGGTAAGAGCATCTTGTAAAAATTATTGAGATTTTTCTAATTTGCATAACTACGACTGCCTTTGTCATATATATGGTAAGAATACGAACATTTTTTTTTAATTTGGAAGCTTGCTTAATTCCTTATCATATTATTAAGTACATTTATTTTAACTGAGTTTCCGTTTGTTATGGAATGCTATTGGCATACTTGAATACATCAAGTAGACAGATGTTCTTTAGTTGGTATTACTATGTGTAAATATGTATTTATTTTTTTAAACCACAGCAATTTGTGGTGTTGCATGTTTAAATACTTAAAAATCATTTGTATCCAGTTTGTCAGAAACAGTCTTTCTCTTTACATAAATGATTCAGCTGAGATCCATGTGGATTTTCTTAAGCCTTTACATGAGAATATTTTATTTTTTTTAATATGAAAACAGGCTTTAAATGAGAGTATCTACTGATAGGACAGTTGTTTAGGACAGTTGTTACCCATCCAGATTGCATCTTTCCAAGGCAAGAGACTGAATTACACAAATGTACTAATTTCTTTATTCTTGATTTTTTTTTTCTTCAGTAGTGGGTGATGAAAACTATGAATTGTACTAGGTTTTTGTTAATTGTATGGGAAAATCCAAAAATCTTTTAAGATGCATACATAATCAAAAGCTTATATATCCTCATAGAAACATTTAGGTGAGTGTTCTTCTGTGTTTTCTCATGGTGCATACTGATTGCAGAATAGATGAGATAATTGTCTCCAGAAGTTCCATGGTCCCCACTACATGAAACTCAGACTAACAAATTCAGGTTTTTACATAGGGACTGAGTGCAAAAGGCATTATGTTATTCTAGGAGACATTACTCTTGGGAATTCGACATAGTTGATCAAGCTAAGGAAATAGAGTGATAAAACACAAAATGGAGATTGTAACTGAGATCCAGGATAGAACCTTTTTCTATTTTTTTTTCTTTTTTTTCTTTTTTTTTTTCCCCTCCCTGTCCAGAGCACCCTGATGTACCCTAGCTCAATTCTGAAGTAGACTACCTGTGTAACTGTTCACGGGCATGTGTGAATGAGGGTGACAGTTAAGGTATTGCATTTTACAGTCAAGTGAATAAAGATTCGAAGGCTGTTGTCTGAACAACGATCAACAATTCTTTCATTCTCTTGTTTTACAGGTTTCCAAGCAACAATCAGCGCTCCACATATGGTAAGCTTTAAGCTTATGTGATTAGTATAGGTGATTTTACAAACAACCAAAAGCTTCTGAGATAAAATATATATCCTAACAGTTGATTGCAGTAATGCTGTTGTGATTTTTCTCAGAGATGCACAGTAGTAGATGAGGGGTAGTGGACAAAAAATGCAATGTGAGAAATTTTAATTAGTTTCTAGGGGGAAAAAAAAATTCCATTCCAGAGTAGTTAAACACTGGAACAAGTTTTGCAGATTGTGGAAATTCTGTTCTTGGATATACAAATAAGCTGACTGGACCGAGCTCTCAGCAGCCTGATTTGAATCGCCCCTGTGTTACACAAGAGTTTGACCACAGGGTTTCCGGAGATACTTTCCAGCCTAAATTACTCTGACTCTGTAATTTATAAAAATATAAGAATTCAGGAGTGGATAACAGTGATTTTTATGATATAGTATTGCTGTAATGCCTTAAATTCTTTGTATGGGAAAAAAAAAAAAAGCATTGTACCAAGATGCAGGTTTCTTACCAAGTGGTCTGAGAACAGAGCGTCTGTAACTGAGCATTAAGAAGGGATTTCTGTACATACATCTATCACAGACGTGATTTTTCTATGATTCTTTACTTGAGATGAAGGGTGAATAGAAGCAGATACTTTTTTCGCTGCAATAGAAGGTGTCAAACCATAGTAAAACTCTGCTTCTCTTAACTAAGAACTACATAGTTGGGTTAGAATTTACTTAGTTATCAATATAAAAAAAATCAGAAATTTCGTATAGTGATGTTAGCAATTTTATACAAGGAGAGAAAGAAATACTGTGCCTAAGGGAGAAAAATAAGTATTAAGTTCTCAAAATTTTAACTCACCTAAGTCATAAGCTTTGAATCATCCTATGCTTAGCACTAGTAGTATCTGAAGTGTTAGAGCAAAACGGAAATGTATCCTCTAAGCAAATGTTAACAATAAAATTATTTTTGGTTTCTGTGTGTGATGGATTAAGCCATAAGAGGAGTGTGGTAATGGCTGTCTCTGAAACGTTAAAGAGCAAATTGTTTTTTTCTTAGCATGCGACCTAAGCTTAGTTTGTGTACTGGTTCACCACATGGGAAAGCAAAGCTCAGGAAGCGTGTCTATAAGACAGCTGCATTTCATACATGAGCCTGGCTATCTGCCTTTGTAAAAAACAACTTCTTTTTACTACTCTTTGACTCAGCAAGTGCGCAGGTAATACAAGAGAGAGTTTTAATAGCCATTTTCCTTGATGATCAAAGAAGCGCATGCTGCCTTACTAGCTAGCCTCTGTCTCAGCTTATTCCAGGGTATATTACTTAATGATAAGCTAAATGCTTTATCATAGAATCATAGAATGTCAGGGGTTGGAAGAGACCTCAAAAGATCATCTAGTCCAGCCCCCCTGCCAGAGCAGGCTCCCTTAGGGCAGCCACACACGAACACGTCCAGGCAGGTTTTGAAAGTCTCCAGAGAAGGAGACTCCACAACCTCTATGGGCAGCCTGTGCCAGTGCTCTGTCACCCTCGGAGTAAAAAGTTTCTCCTCATGTTGAGGTGGAACTTTCTATGTTCTAACTTAAACCCATTATTCCTTGTTCTACTACTGGGCACCACTAGGAAGAGATTGTCACATTTCTTTATGGCCCTTATACTACCAGAACAGTGAGGGTCACCAGACTTGAAGAGAATTAAATTGATTTATGGTGCCTTTCCCAATAAATATATATAATTTGAGTGTGTGCTTAAAGCTTGAATGGACAGATGAGGTTTTATCTATATATAATTTAAAAAATAAATAAATCTATGTATATACACACAATTTGTTGGTGTCAGTAAAATAACATTATTTCATGTGATTAACTCTCTAGCTAAATAAACAAAATAATTATGACATTTCTTACACGAATCCTCAGTACATTACCCAAAATCACTGAAGAAATGAACATCTATTGGGTAAAATAGACACTTAAAATATTTTGCATTTTTTTATCTCTGTTGTCTTAGCATGCATATGCTCTTGAACTTCTGTCTGATCAGTTACATGAAGGAGCCAAAGCACTCGATGTAGGATCTGGAAGTGGAATCCTTACAGCGTGCTTTTCACGAATGGTGAGATTTAGTTTAAACACTTGACCATCAGAACCTCTTGAACTGCAGTGTAGCTTTGAATTACCCTTGCTGATACTAGATGGTTGAGTGAAAGGTGTGATGGTGAAGAAACTGCCTAGAGGGGAAGGTTTTTTGTGTTTGTTTTTTTCTTACATTGCTTTATAGCTTGAAGGAGGAACATGTTTGTCTTGTCCAGCCCAATTTTTCTGTTATCTTGTGTGGCTATGAATGTTCTTATTGTGATCAATTGTTATATCTTCTTGCTATGATGGGAGACTAATGAGACTTGAAAGAATCCTGTTTACACAGGCAAAATATTGTATGTATATAAATTAACCTTTTATTCTTGTTACTATATTGCATGAGCATGACTATAATTATCCATTTAATCTTTTCCAAGATATTTATTTATTAATATGCTTTTTACATCTTAAAGTAGCCTAATGTCTGGGTTGTTCAACCCGTACATAGGAAATTCTCTGTGGCTGTATCCTGTCTTCCATCAGGAAGAAAAGATGAAAAAATTTGCTTTGTGATGGCTGTAACTACTGTACTGTTAGAGTTGAGTTAATTAGTGAACTATGATCAGTTCTTCCTTCTCCATTCCAGGACTTTATCATTGCTTTGTAACTGGAAGAGACCTTCCTTAAACTACCAGCTAGATTATTTTTTTTGGTCTTTCTGAGAAGTTGATTTGGAATATGGTAATACATATGATAAATTTTCATATGTATTTTTTCTTTTGCTACTTGATTTTCTGTTTCAAGCACTGATCTGTTGAGTCTGTGAACGCTTCTGGTTTCCTATGTTAAGAATTAGATAAGAAAGTTTAGAACTGGGCAATGCACTAACAAAGTATTTAGGTGTGTTTCAGCTTTTTAAGTGCTAGCTGCAAAGCTAAAAAGAAAAATCAAAAATTATATTTGAAATAAGTTGACGAAACTGCAGTTTAATGGAAATCATGGAACTCACTCATTCAAGTTTCTATGTATTATTTTTGGTCTAACTTTGTAGTCACTAATCACAATGTTAGTAGCATGCATGGGAACTCCGGTCCTACAAGCATTATGACATTTGTCGAAGCTGTGCATATTTCTCATGCAAATTACAAATGCGTAGAGGTATCGCTGTCTTTAAGATGTGACGAGTTGTGGTTGTGCAATTTTTTTCTTTTAGAATAGCTGTATAAAGAAAGCTGAAAACATTTGCAGGGAAGTCAGAATTACCACCAAAAGGAAATCTCTTTCCAGTTTTGCTGAGGTTAATCATTTTATTGCCATATGAATGCCACGTTCCTCTTCTCAGTCCTCCTTGGTGGCGTGCTGTGGAATGACTTAGTGACATGTGTTTTGCGAAACACTGCCTAAATGCTTTTGTTCTGTTCGTTAGCGTTACTGCTGTGAGTTACAGATCTGCCTTCATTCACTTGAGCGAATGTAGATGAGACAGTATGTGTTGCTCTGATTTTCTCTGTAAAGTTCTTTCTAACTGTAACAACAACTTTAAAGAATTACGTTATGGGGAATGATGGTAAAGTGCTTTTCTATCAAAATTCAGTTGGGGATGAGCTTACTAGATCACGTGGATGTTGTTTCTCAGACTACTTCAGATCTAGAATGAATAGTTCATGTTTGTGGCACAAGTACCTGAGCACACTTGTCATGACAGCTTTACTGCTATAATGGTAATCTCATTTGTGGTACTTCTGGGAAAAGCTTTATGTTTACCTAAACTAGTAAAGTATCTTTAAGATTTTTGTTTGGATTTTCATGTTAAACTGTGATGACAAATTTGTCTACATAGCATACAAACTTAAGTTTATTTGCTTTTAAAGGTTGCTGGCAAATTAAATGAATAGTAATTTTCATCCTGTAAGTACTAGAATTATGAAAAGACTGGGGTATATTTTTATTCCAAACAGACCACGGAGATCCCAGAAGTTGTGCCATTTTGCTAGTGTCTTGATTGCACACACTTCAAAGTTCCAGGGTAATAGAGGTTAACTGAGGACTTAGAAATAGTGCAAAGGGCTGGGACATGGAGCAGGAGGTCCTCTTACTTTGTATCAGGGTGTTTCATGCATGACCATTTTGCTGAATTTTAATTTCTGTGACATTACCCTTTGGTGGACTACACTGAATCTTCTGCCAGCTCCTGGTGCAACTGAGGGCCAGACATTCCTCCAGATAGCAACCTATGGTTGTCGTGGTGAAAACTTGCCAAGTGTCTTGCTCTGTTTCAAGACTAGGCTGGTGGTCCTCCACTTGAAAAAGAAGAGATAATGCTGCTCTTTTGGTGTTTTTAACATAAGATTCATCCATAATAAAAGAGAAAAAAATTCCCATGGTGTTGAAAACCAGTTATTAATTTTAGCAACTTTGCAATGTAGGATACAGAAGCAAAACCAATGCATTCAAATGTGTCCGAAGACAAAGTTGTATGACAACAGAGGCTGCTAAGACAGACTCTGTCATTGTGTTCTTTGAGCTGAATCCTCTTAAAAACATTTTGATTTTAAGATCTAGAATCTTTTTCTCTTCTGTTGAAAATCAGAATAATTTTTCTGAAATAAAGACACAATTCCGTAAGAAGTACCTATAATTGAGAAGTTTTTTGTTAGTGGGCATTTTTACCCTTCAGAACACACAGATCTTTTCTGACTTTTTTGAGTTACGAGCTCTCAAAAGTTCCACTCTCCCTGTGGAAGAGCTGTAAATCTGAAAGTAAATTAATGAATGCAAGGGCAGGTGGAAAGTAGTTTGTCCCTGACTGTTAATTGCTGCATTTGCTTCTGAAAGAATAGAGCTCTTCAGATAACTTAGACTAAAATGCATGACTAGTTTCCTTGAAGGAAGGTCTTCTCCAGAAAAACCTTGATTTCTAAGTAAGTTCATTCAACATGAAAGATTAGTTCTAGTAACAAAGGGACAACATTTGTTACTTTCTGTTGTACCTAATGTAAAGACTCAACTTTAAAAATTCAGGGAAGAAATCTCTCCTAAGAGTATAACTTAACTGAATCATATATCAAAAAGGTGACTATAGCAAGCCTTTTGTAAGACCGTACTGACAAACTTTAATTGCCAGTTGCTTCTAGCAGTCAGGATGTGTCATTCTAGGCAGTAGTTTTAATAACATCAGAAAACTCTACTACTCCTCTACTGATTTTGTTTTTAATTTAGAGAAATGAGCTCAGGAGATAGGAATACTCATTCTATAAATAAATCAAAACTAGCAGAAATTATTCAACTGTATATTTTTATTCCAGGTTGGTCCCAAAGGACAAGTTGTAGGAATTGATCATATCAAAGAACTAGTAGATGACTCAATAAATAATGTCAAAAAAGATGATCCCACATTGCTGTCTTCAGGAAGAGTGAAACTGATTGGTGAGCATCAGACTGATATACTTACTAATTAAACTGATATTCTTTCTAGCAGCTTGTTGAAAACGACTGGACTTGGGTGTGATTTAAAAATTCTAATTTAAGAAGTTAACCCAAAGAAAGAAGAGCCAAATGAAAACTCTAAAATCCAGGTCGTCTTCAGGCCTTTGAAAAATACCATCTTTATGCAGTTTTGAGAATATGACTTATGTTATTCTTAAAGAGTATGTAATCATTCTATCAGAGAAGCTTGACAGGGCAGTGTTTTCCAGTGAAAATGCTTTACATGCTGAAGGTCTGTTGTATTAAATTTGCTATATAAAATTGGAGTTGAATTTCACAACTTTTCTTGAATAAATGTACTGTCATCTAAATTCGAGTGTTTTACCACAGCCGCCATACTTCTGATACAGTAACTGAGAAAGCTGCACACAAAGAGTCGGGTGAAAAAAGTACTGGATTTCAGTGCTGCATACTGCCAGTTTATTTCACTTGTTTTGAAAATTAATTGTATTTGTATGTTAGGGAAGTGATTAATGGCACAAAACTACTTTAATTAGAGTTACTGAGAAGAAATAATGCTAAAATTATGCAAGAACAGTGAATTGCAAAAAAAGTAATGCTTTTTGACTAAAAAGTAAAAGATGTGTTGCTTTTCTTATTTGTTTTTGTTAGAAGATGAAAAACTGGTAGGAGGAAAGCATTCACTTTATTATCGTTCTATTCATCAAGTTTAAAAAAAAAGAAATTGAGCACTTGGAATAATTACTATTATGAAATGTTCGGCTCTTCACCTTAATTTTCATTTTGATTCCTGACCCTTTTTGTAAACGAGGGCCTTTTCCAAACTTTTTTAAAATAAGTCAACACTTGTACACATGTTTAAAATAGTGTCCCTCACTGAAAACACTTATGTCATAAACTTTCATGGAAAAGTTGTACTGAGGCTGTTGGGGCTGGAGAGGGAGGGAATTGGGGGGATAATTTCCATTGTTGCTGTACAAGAGCAATTTGGACTTACACTTCTGGTTATACCTGAAACAGACTCTGATGCTCTTGAGAGTCTGAGATTATAAGTAAACATCTTTGTCTGTATTATGTTTGACTGGGTAGCAAGATGACTAAGAGACTTCTGAATAGTTTTGTTGTGAGGTACGTTTTTGTGAATTAGGTGGAGAAGAGGAATGTTCCAGCTGTGCTGGATTCCTGGGAGCTTTTGGATGTGGAACTAGAATCCAGACAGAGCTTTGTTTTTTAAAACAAAGCAACCCACACCACCAGCACTCACCTCCCCAACACAGAAAGAAACAGAAAACCTGAAAGGCCAGGGTTGATTGGTGATGAGACCTGTATGGATTAAGGCTAGGTTAGTCAGTTGCTGACTTTCACAAGTACACTTCAGACATTCTCCATTGCTTTGTCACATTTTGAGTATGCCATAACTGCATTTCAGAAGCATCACAGTTATTTTGGGGTTTCTCAGTAATAGAACTGCACTGAGCACTTGGGAATAGGTGTACTTAGGGTACTTCTAGACTAGTTTGTGGGGGGTTTTACGTTTTTTTGTGCATTTTTTTGTTCTTCTTTTAAAATCAGGAGAGTGCCTTTTGAGGTGAAACACTCAGTTACTTCCACTTGCCACATTTTGGCTCATATGAGAGTACTGGAGAGCACAAACTATGATTCCTTTTGGATTAAACTAGACTGGATTATGTGCTCTGAGAAGCAACCAAGTATGTTTAATATGTTACTGGATATTAAGCCAATGAGACTAGAATTAGACCAGAGCCATCATTCTGAAATGTGTATGTTGCGTGGGCATGAGATTCTCAGCAAAACCTGTTTTTCTGTAGAGATTTGCTTCTATTGAACTACAGTATTTGCTGATGCAGACATAGCCAGAGGGGGATGAGAGGATTCTAATCACAGTGAAGTAGTTTTCTTTGGTTTCAGTGCTCATGCTGCAGCTCTGTGTGAAATGGGTCTGCACAGAGATGCTGAAAGCTTGAGTACCATCATCAGCAGATCAAGTCTAGGTTCAAAAACAAGCTACAAAACCCTTTAATGCCAGAAAGTCCTGACATTACTTCCTCCCCTCATCACCACCTACAGCTGTGATCACTTCATTAGCAGGCTGCATGTAATGGGAGATCTGAGGAGCATAGGTGCTGTTATTCAGGATGTGAGCACAAACTCAAATTTTGGGCTGCTGTTTCCCCTTGGACATCAAATACTACAATGATTTGTATCACGCTGAATATGTGAAGGCCAGGGTTTGTGTTTTTTTTTTTAATGTTCTGAGTATCTAAAAACACGTTCCCATTGTGGCTGGGTATATATCTTATGGCTGTAGCCAGGACAATTTTTTGTGGATGTCAAAAGGGAAGAGCCATGCTGTGCTTGATGCATATAAAGGAACATGTGGGTGTTTTTTTGGGTTTATTCCTGGTAGATGTTTGTGCTGATTCTGAACATGGTAGCTTTGGCCTTAGATAATTGATTGTAAGACTGAAGAATTTAGATGTTTTGAGTCCTTTTTGCCACCGTCAGTGGTTCAGACTTCTCTGGATGGCACACAAGGTGAATCATAATCTCAGAATACATGTGTTCTTCAGACTTCACAGCTGTTTCTTTAACTTGGCAATCTCTTCCTCTTTTGCCAGCAGTACTGTACTGGAGATGACTGCTTCTAATGCCTGCTGCTGCATCTCAGGGAATGAGCTTCTGTCTCCCTGTCTAACATCATTGAATGCAATATCTGTACAAGCTCCATTGCCTTCTCCAATGGAACAGCAGCTTGATGCAGTAACACGTCACTGCTTCCTCTTTAGAGGAGGTGTACAGTGCTACTAAGATAAAAGCAAATATAAATGATATACTTGACTGCATTGAGGTGGTTGTTCTAGTAGAGCCTGCTTTGGCAGAGTCAGAGAGATTAAGCCCTTGACCTTTGATTACTGGCAACAGTAGTAAGAGCTGAATTATTGGAATTGGTGATTGATAGGCATGAGTTCTCTTGAATCGTTGGTAGTTCTTGCTTGGCAGCTTCTGCCTGTGGCCCTTGGTTGGAGCTTGTGCTGGTCAGAATTGATGATACTAAGAAATAAGCCGTTGAGCTTTAAGGAGCTTCTCGGCTATTGAGAGAACAGTCTCTCTTATAATCCTTAAGCTTTGGGTGTGGAAGGGTCTTATTTCAGGTCCTAATATGACAGCAAACTCTCCAATTTTAATTGTTTTAAGCAGCTATCCATATCTTCCTGTACACTCTTGAATACATGAGGGGTTTGTTGCTGTCCAGGTAGCCCTCACTATCACTACGGTCAAAATGAAACCTGCTATGGCCACCAAGTATTTTTCCTGCCTTTTGAGTTTTGGAAGTGAAAAAGTTGACAAATTTTCAGCCTTTGGCAGGGGCTTAGAATTTCTTTTGATTCCTTCAGCCTTTTAATTAACCTGTGATAATACTAATTGCACAGAAGTTGAAGCTCAGTCTGAAGATGGGAAACCCCAAACAACTGCTTGTGCTTTTTCTCCTTGACTGATTACTGGGACTCCTGCACTCACTGACTGTGAATTTGAGGATGGTTTAGCCTCATTTTCTTCTTCTGGACCTAAATAACTCCAGAGGGAGCTTGCCTAAGTTGCTCTGAATTTCCTATAAATACTGTGGATGCCACATTATCATCTTTCAAAACTTAACCCAGGGTCTAGTTTAGTTTGCTACATTTCAGTGGCTATAAAAAGGGTGATCTTTTCATCATGCATAACTGGGATGGTATGAAACATCTGTGATAGTGTGCTTCTCCGGGAGTTTTTCCAGCAAACCCGAAGCTGCATCAGTAGCCCTCAGAATAATTTAATTACTCCTAATGTCTTCCAAGCAGCCATCTGGAGCTTTAGCCACAGATGTGACCTGGCTATCCATGTTAGTCCAGCAGTTGTTCGCAGGAAGGGTGGTGAGACTTGTCTGCTGGCAAGGGGGAATGCGTGGGGATTATGGTGGTTCATGTATGAATGTAGGTATGGATATCTATTCCAGTCAGTAGTGCACTTACAGGTATGTAGTCCATGTGAATACTTGCTTTGTCTTTTCCTCACCTTTGGAGTTTTCTGATCCATGTTTCTGAGATTTAATGTTTTAGACTTAAGATATTTAGGAATGGTGTCCATGAAGGCAAAGCAAAGCATGTGTTCTAAAAGAATGAATGAGGGGAAAAGACACCTGCACTGGAATGGTAGGGCACATAAATACCTAGGTGTCTTTCCTGAGTGGACCATATGTCTCCAAGAACTTTTGTTATAAATCCATGCTTTCTACTTTCAGGTGCTTGAGTAGTATTTCATATCTTTTGTAAGTGTGTGTATGTATGTACAAGGGTGTTTTGTTGCATCTATTTTACAATTGTGTATTTTGAATGTCATGTTAATTACCTCTCAGCAGAACTGTAGTTGAAATCTGAGCATAGCTTTTTATCTACCTGTAGATATGGCAGATCATCTGTTTTCTACACTCTTTTTGAAAACGTTAAAAAAAGGTGTTTTCTTGCAGTGGGAGATGGAAGAATGGGCTATGCAGAAGAAGCTCCCTATGATGCGATTCATGTAGGAGCTGCAGCACCAGTTGTGCCCCAAGCAGTAAGTCTTTGTGTTTTATGCATGTGATTCAGTAATCTCTTAGCTTTAAGGAGCTCTTTTTTTGCATAAATATATGTATGTAAAATACTTGGTAGGCTTGCACTGCTGGGAGTATCAGTGAGCAGTGTGGTATTACTGTGTGGTGTGGGTTTTTTGTTCCTGTTATAATTTGGCTTCCTGTTGGTTTGCAAAACCTGTATGTTCTAATAATTCTCCTCTCTCCTTTAAATAAACGTTTTTTTAAATTGCTTGTGGACAACCCTCTATTACAACAGTGAACTGGAACATTTAATAAAATAATTTGTTTTTATCAAGCACTGAATTACAAAATCTAAGTATTTGTTTCCCAGGTTCCAAGGCATTGAGCCTTTTGGAAAAGTAACGTGCTTGGCTGGGCATACAGACAATGCCATGTGTTTGTAGCTTTCAGAGTGGATACAGAGCAATTAATAGAGAAGCTGAAGAGTAACTAGGGTCTTTAGAGTGTGCATACTTGAAGTCCCTTCTTGCAGATAAGATTTTTTTTTTTTTCCCTGTTATTTTCATCAGGTCAATAGGAATATTTAGCATGATTTTTATATGCTAGATACCAGTTCATTTTTTTTTTTTTTTTTAAATCTGAATTTTAATGTGGTATAGTGGAGGACTGGAGGTTTGAGTTGCTATAGACAGGTTAATCATTTCCAGACATTGGTCGTTTGGTTTTTGTTTTGTTTTGGTTTTTTACTTCATTTTCAGATGGACCTTTAGGGAGAGTGTTCCCAGCAAAGTGTTGACAGGTAACAGTTAAAAAGATAATTTAAATCTTACTAGTGAATGAAACAGTTCTTAATTATAATTGTTGTTAGAAACAGGGATTAAGACTTTTTTCATGGCATCTGGGAAGTACTGAATTTTCCTTGAGACTACTGTGATAGCATCCATTCTTAGTTATGAAAGCAAAAAAAAAACCCAAGCACTTCTCTCATATTCTGTTACTTGTCACTTACCTTACTTGTATTCATGTGGTTTTAGAATAGTTTCATAAAATGCTGTTCCATTCACAGAATGAAAGAGGAGTTGTTGGGTAGTGAGTGTATGGTAGACAAAATTATTTAAGGAAGATAAATTAAAAAAAAAAATCACAAATCTCAACTATTACTCAAAGGGATTAAGGGGAAGATCAGTTAGCTGAAAAACATTGGACCATTGGCCTGTACAGATGCACACTAAGTATCAAACAGTTAAAACTAGCAGTTTAAAAAGATAATTTGTGATTTACATATTTTTCCCCTATTATGTAGAAACTAAAACTGCAACCAACTCAGTTAATCCAATTACTGTTTTACCTTCGCTTTGGAATTACGTGAAATTATTGTGAATGTTTCTGTAATACCAGTTGTTGTACCATGTTGTTGTGATACTCTCATTTCCAGTGCATTTTAAAATTTTTGTCTAATTGAATTTAGCTGTCTAGTACTAATATCCACTACATAATAGTAGATAAATTCTGGCGAAGCTATTAATTTAATGTAACAAACTTTGGATCCAGCTTCTCTTGAAGTGGCTGGTTACATTCTAATTTCTGTGTTGTGTTCTAGCTTATAGATCAGTTAAAACCTGGCGGAAGATTGATATTACCAGTTGGTCCTGCAGGGGGAAACCAGATGCTGGAACAGTATGACAAACTAGAAGATGGCAGTGTCAAAATGAAGCCTCTGATGGGAGTGATATATGTGCCTTTAACAGATAAAGAGAAGCAGTGGTCCAGGTGGAAGTGATTTTCTGTTCCACTTACTTCTTCCACACACACACACAAGGTGAAAGGGTGTGAATTTTAAGCAGATAGACTGCAAGGCCTGCCTTTGCTGCTGTCATTGCTTTCTGCTCCTCCATACCATGACAAGTGACTCAGCCTGCATTACTACAGCACCAAAAGGAGGTTATGCTAAGTTTGAGTTAATTTTAAAAGCAGAAGAAAAATATTGCATGGGTTGCACTTTGTCTCTTTTGGACATGTTTTCCTTAGCCTTTGCGTGTTGAAGTTTCCTTTTTGTTGTTTTGAGCACAGTATTTTCGAAATTTAAACTTCCCTTCTGATGAACTTTTTATAACCAGTTTGTCCAGTAATTAGGGTAAAGTGTAAAATACTAAAGAATAAATGTTGTTTTGTCCTGTAAGCTAGTGGTAATTGGGTGTTCATTTTTTATTTTTCTGAAACATCACAAATGAAGAAAAATCTTCATAAAATCCTTTGTGGGAAAGGTAGATAAACTTGTGAGGACTTTCCCCTCAGCCCTCAAGTATCAGAAAGCTGAGGAGGTAATCCCTTCTTCCTGGAATTTTAAATGTAGTTGAGTAGGGATCAGAAAATTTTCTCCGACGTGTTATTAAAAGTCTGTCATCTGTCACTGATGGGGGCATAGCTCTGTTTGCCAGTGCAGCAAACTCTAAAGGCCTTTCTAGAGGTAACAAACCTTTCAGTTTGCTGAATCGAACAGCCAGTAACATAGACACAGTGACACAGCTGTCAGCTTAAACTGCGCGAGCCATTAGTATGCAAACGAACAACGCAGCAGCCCTGTTTTGCTTCCTGGCAGAAAACACTTGTGAATGAATTATCTGCGTTAATGAAGTACATAGATGTGCACCGAGTTCCAAAAACAACTCTTGAGCTTTATAAATTCTAAATTTATATTTTGGGGAGTTTTTCCTTGATGTTCTGGAGTGTAGCTTGTCATTTGCATAGGTGAATGCATAAAGCTTAAGCTATCAAAATGTCCATAAAAAGTACAAATAAAGCAGTTTGCATTACTGCTGCTTACTGAAACCTCATTTTAGTGTTTCTTGGATAACTGTATAGACACCATGTACAAATTACTCATAGAACAACTTTAATGAGTTACTGCTCAGTTCAAAGCTTGTGAAGTGTGATTGCCATTCAGATGTTTTGTATTTGTTATGCAAATTAATACTTTGTCCTCGAATATTGCCAATATTCTCTCAGTGTGGTTTCCTGCCTCTTGTAAGGCTTCGGAAGTCTTGCTTTGTGGTCAGTTTCCTTCTCTGGCAAGTGCAGTGGACTTCATTCAAGTTCTAAGTCCATTCTCTGCTTATTCTAGGAGAGAGAAGTATTCATCTTAGACCTTCCCTTTATTATAGATTTTTCTGCTTTTCCACTTGATCTGATTATAGTAGCAATTGTGTTTTGGGTTTGTTTTTTTCCCATAGCAGCAATGTGAGTTCAGAAGGGTTTGAGGAATGACGGTGGTTGTCTTTTGCTGCTAGTGAAGGTGATGTAGTGCATTAAGGACTAGAATTTGAAGATCTTTGGATCTCTTCTGTGCAGTTTTGTACTCCATTTTTAGTGCTAGCTCAGGAAGAAGTAATAGATTGTCTTTGGGCCTTCATTGGTCATGATTCTTCATTTTATTTATTTATTTTCAATTTAAGTGTTAAGAATATACATCGGTGTTGTCAGAACAGGTAAGTGCTTAGCCTGAAGAGTTACCTTGAACGCTACAGTGGCGTGTAGGGTGTTTCTTGCTATGTACACTTAAATTCAGTTCAGACTTCTCTTAACAAAAATCTCAGAAGTCCACATCTTTTAACGTTTGTTTTTACTTTAATTGTCCTTTTTGTGATCTGAAGAAAATGCCCATTCCCTTCTCAAGGATAACTGCCAGTGCACTGCTGACTTTACATTAGGCTGCATCTGTATTTTTTTGTTGCTTTTACTTATTCATGAGTCCAAAGTGTATGGCCAACCAGCTGCTGCTAAAGAAACTCCTAATTATAAATCAACATTTATTATTTACACTAATATCAAAGATGAACGAGGTATTTTTTTCTGCACTTCCTAGATGTCAATTAACCTTGCCTTTGAAGACCTGTGAGCAGAGGTCAACTGGAAACTCCTCTGAAAGAGCATCTTTAAGTCTTTCTGTAATAAAGAGCTCTAGTGTATGAAATACTCTAGGTGTTGTAAATATGAAATTAATTCAACAATTATCTTTTTTTTTAGAGTAGCTCAAGAATCCTGTGTGTTTAGCTTGTCGTTCTCTTTGTTTACATTGTTAAGAATTGCATTCCTAATGCAGGTAACTCACCACGTTTAAGAATTGGTGTTCCTTCACAAAATGCAATTGATAGGCCGGCAGTGTTTTCCTAGGCTAACAAACCTTCCTGTTGGCAAGAAAGAAGCCACTTGAATTTTTGCTTAGCCATTCCCATGCTGGAGAAGTCAATATAGTTCCTTAGCAGGGCTGCAGGGTGCTCTTTACAAAGGAGCACAGCAGTAACTTGATCTGTAAGTAGTGTTTGAGGTCAAACCTACCTTCAGATGCTTGCAGCATTCTTCACTATGTAAAACTGGAGCTTCTGGCAAAAGAAAATCTGAGGTAGCTGGAATGAAAAAGACTCCTTGGATTTTGATAAATTGATGTTGTGGGCCTAAATAAAGAATTCTATATTGTGAATATTACTGAATTTCTTTAAATTTAGTCCATGATTTTCTAATTTGGGTTCAGCTGCAGTAGTATTGTAAGCTCCAAATATTAGTGGGTATCTTCTCGAATGTGACTTCATGGAACATTTGGAAGTGGAATATGCACAGGAGTCCTATCTGATACAAAATTAAATGCATTACTGTACCAGAGATCCAGCAGAAGGTGCCCACTTATGTGATTATGCTGGTAAGGATGTTTATCCTCTCACATAAAGCTTCCTGATAAGTGGGGTTTTTTCTTACTGACAAGTAGGGAGGAGAGAAGACCACTTGTGCCTCATTCAGCTGAGAACACAACTTCTTGGCTAACTTATTGGCAGTTCTTCTGTAAATTAGGAAAGGCAGTTTAAAGAGTCACAGAATTGTTTAGGTTGTAAAAGACCTTTAAGATCATTGACTCCAACCATTAACCTAGCATTGCTAAGTCTCCCACTAAACCGTGTCCCCAAGCACCGCATCTGCACGTCTTTTGTTTACTTCCAGGGTTGGTGACTCAACCACTTCTCTGGACAGCCTGTTACAATGCTTGATAACCCTTTAGGTGAAGAAATTTTTCCTAAGATTCAGTCCACACCTCCTCTGGTGCAACTTGAGGCCAATTCCTATTGTCCTGTTGCTTGTTACTTGGGAGAAAAGACCAACTCCCACCTTGCCACAGGCTCCTTGCAGGTAGTAGTAGAGAGCCATAAGGTTTCCCCTCAGCCTCCTTTTCTCCAGACTAAACATCCCCAAATCCCTCAGCTGCTTCTCATAACACTTTTGCTCTAGACCTTTCATCAGGTTTGTTGCCCTTCTCTGAACATGCTCCAGCACCTCAGTGTCCTTCTATAATCATAGAATTGTATCAGCTGGAAGAGACCTAGGAGATCATTGAGTCCAGCCTTTGTCCCAGCCCTGTCAACCTACTAAATAATTCCCCCCAATGCAAAATCCACCCATCTCTTAAACACCTTCTTGTAGGGAGGGGCCCAAAACCAACACAGGACTGGAGATGTGGCCTCATCAGGGCCAAGTACAGGGGACCAGTCACTTCCCTGGTCCTGCTGGCCACACCATTTGTGATACAAATTGAAACAAGAGAATAACAATGTAAGGAACACTTAACAATCTTGGATTTTATTTCCAAACAGGCAGCTTTTTTAGAAAGGTTTTTTTTTTTAATTTAAATTATTTCATTAGTAGAAATTACTTTTAAATGTCATTCTAAATTCTTATTTGCTCATAAAATACAAAATTATAATGACAGTATAACCTTTCTGAGCAAACAGTGTCTAGACTAGGGCTGTTTCTATATCCCACTTACCTGTATAGAAAACATGACTAAACACCCTTTTGGAAAATGTATTTATTGGGAAATATTTTAATGTTTCTACTTAAAAGTCTTATTCAGTGTTTCAAATTCCCCCAATGAGCTAATTGTCTAATTTCAGTTGAAATTAGCAGGAATTTTTGCCCAGAGTTCCTTAGGCTATGCGGAGTAATGACTGTGGTTAAATTTTTTACTTTTACAAAAAGAATCTCTGCACAAGCTATTTTAGGTTAAATTTAAAATCATAGAATGGATATATTATGCAAAAATGCATGTGATGATATTGTAGGTTGCAGAAAAAATAATTTTCTTTGTCATTTCGACCTTATCACTCAATTTGATGCTTGATCATAGCAAATATTAAATACTTGATAATAGCACCTTTCCAGATCCAAGTGCTACAAGTCCAAATATTGCATCTAGTTACCTTTAAAAGTACAAAGTTGGGAATAATTAGCTCCTGAAATACTGAGTAGATGCTGATATTCAGAGTGTAGCTTAGTATGAATTAGAAATATGGTATCAGTAGTGAGAACATGTTCTTCATAGATGAATTATGTTTGAAAAAGGGAAAGTCAAATGCTGCCTAATGACAAGGAAATTTAGGTGGATCCAAAAAGAATAAGTTACAAGTTTCAGATAAATTTATGAAAGCTTGTTCAAATATTTAATTTGAATGCCTTCTACCAAAGAGGTGGAGACACATGGCAAAACTTCATGACTTACCTGTATCCCAAACTTCAGTTATTTCTTATGTTGGTAAACTTGTAGTTTTTTGTGTTTTTTTTTTTCCCCTAATGAGCACTAACATTTGCCTGAAATGCTACCTATTAGATTTTTCTGAAAATGTTTCTTAGTTGTTGGATACTCCCACTGGGAAGTGTGAATTTTCCTGTTTCCCTACTAGTAAACCAATTTTTTTCAAACTTTCTTAAAATTTATTTTTAGAATAATAATTTTGAGCTAAAGACTTCTGAAATTTGCTTTAACTTGAGCCTATGAAGTTGCTTTGATGTCTCAACTGACAATATTAGATGGCTGATTCTTCTTTCTACAATTTCAAGGGCCTGAGAAGAACTACTGTGATGACTTAAAAGCTAGATACATGTATTGCTTACTAAGCAGGAGCTAGTAAGCAGATTGGAAGGAGTACGTTTGTGAAGGTGGAGGGTAGTTAAGCGAGTTGTGTAAGAATCACAGCAAGTAGTTGTGGTGAGAAAAAGGGAGAAAAATATTAATTAGTAGATTTTCTACATCCTTTCTAGAGGACATCAGGATGCTTTCAGCAAGGAAGTAAGTCATCTTTTAGCTCTTTTTAGGCTTTGTAACAGGATGGATCTTTTACTGCTGGAAGGATAGGCACCTATCCTGTTTGTTACCAGTAGTTGCAACCTGGTAGATTTCATAGCTTGGCAGATTCTGGTCCATACAATTGAAGTACGGATCAACTGATGCTGTTTTGCAGGCGATATTTAAGTCTGCAGACTGTTCACATTAGGTTGAAAGCTGAAAGCGTTATTCCTGATGATCCAAGACTTTTCTGTAACTTTCTAATATATATAGTCCAATAGTTTACATATAAGCTCAGCTTTTCATAAAAGTAGAAAATAAAGGCTGCATAATTTTAACACGTGCATCAGGGACTGTTTTGGCCTGGCACTTGAAAAATCACTTGAGGGAACCTCCAGTCCAGGGAAACTTTCCCAGTAAGCCAGGACTGCTGGTACATGATGTAAAGTGCTTTGGTGAGCACTTCTGCCAACTTCCGCAGTACCCTTGGTTGGATCCCATCTGACCCCATAGACTTGTGCTTGTGTAAGTAGTGTAGGAAGCTGCTGACCATTTCCTTTTGGATTGTGGGGCTTCATTGTGTTCCCTGCCTTCCAGCTCAGGGGGCTGGGTACCTTTGCTATAAAGACTGAGGCAAAGACATCAAGTATCTCATCCTTTTCCTCATCCTTTGTCACTATGTTTCACCCTGCATCCAGTAAGGGATAGAGCTTCTCCTTAGCTCTCCTGCTGTTGCTAATGTACATATAGACACATTTTTAATTGCTTTTTATGGCAGTAGCCAGATTAAGTTCTATTTGGGCTTTGGCCCTCCTAATTTGCTCCATGCATAACCTCATGACAATTTTGTAATCCTCCTGAGTTGCATGCTCCTTCTTTCAAACATCATAGACTTTCTTAATTATTTTCCTGAGTTCCAGCCAAATCTCTCTGTTCAGCCAGGCCGGTCTTCTTCCCCCCTGGTTTTTCTTGGCACATGGGGAAGATGTGCTCCTGCACCTTCAGTTTTTTCTTCTTGATGATCATCCAGTCTTCCTGGACCCCTTTGCCCTTCAGGGCCACCTCCCAAGGAACTCAGTCAACCAGTCTCCTAAACAGGCCCAAGTCTGTCCTGTGGAAGCCCAGGGTATCAGTTCTGTTGACCCCTGTCCTTACTTCTCTGAGAATCAAAAACCCTGTCATTTTGTGATCGTTACGCTTCAGCCATTGCATCACCCACACGTCCTTTTCTGTTCACGAACAGCAGGTGCAGAGGATGTGTTCCCTAGCTGACTCCTTTAGCAGCTGTGTCAGAAGTTCTCTTTCATACACTCCAGG